TTTACGTTTACATTGCACTTTTTGTACAATTTGGACCATTGAAAGTACAATTGTGAAAAACACTGTATGTATTACTCGGCTGTACTTGGTTCGATCGAAGTTCGAGACATAGCAGGACGCAGTGGTGTATTGTATGGTGACCGTGTACAGCGATCTCTGACCCAACATTAGCCCTGGACTGTCCAGGACGTCACCTACACCAACTTGTCAGGCTAACCCAACATCTGACCTGGATACATCTTTGGTATAACCAAGGCTTTGTGACAGTGTGCCTGACAAGTTTTGTCAGTTCTCCTGATGTAAGTTTGTTGGTGTAAGATCGGATGCTCGCGCCGTTTTTGTGACAGGACACGTACATGATATGCAATCATGTCTCAGCTCTGGCCGAATCAAGGATTGTGGATACTGTCGGTCTAATACAGTGGTTTATAGCTAGCTTCCAAAATTCACCATATATTTTGTAATCGGTAATTTTGTAAATTATGTCTCTTGTTAGTAGCTTATTTGAAGGTATACTTCTATATTGGTATGAATAAGTTGAAACTATTGAAAAATATACTCACTGTCAGCATCCATTATTCTATTTTATTGTCATATTACCTCAAACTCTGCACTTTGAAATTGAACATTTGTATGATAGCATTACGCTTTGACTGTACTGAAGTTACCATAGACACATGTCTGTTATTTATGTAATAGAGAAAATATATTATATTTTATTCCCTAATATTTTAACTTAGGAAACGTTAGAGCGACATTGTATATCGCTACGAGATGGAGACGTGTAATGATGTAGCTCTCAAGCCACAGAGACCTTTAATTTTTAAAATCAGTTTAAGTATTTTTGTAGTAAAACGTACGGCAGGTTGCACTGAACAATTCATACAATATGTAGATATATGGCGATTTGAAAGCATATATGGCGACTTGATAGCATATATGGCGATTTGAAAGCATGCACGGCGATTTGAAAGCACATATGGCGATTTGAAAGCACATATGGCGATTTGAAAGCATGTTTGACGATTTGAAAGCATGTATGGTGGTTTGAAATCATGTATGGCGATTTGAAAGCATATGTGACGATTTGAAAGCATATATGGCGATTTTAAAGCATGTATGGCGATTTGAAAGCATGTAATGCGATTTGAAAGCATATGTGGCGACTTGAAAGCATATGTGGCGATTTGAAAGCATGTACGACGATTTGGAAGCACACATAGCGATTTGAAAGCATATATGGCTATTTGAAAGCACATATGGCGATTTGAAAGCATACATGGCGATTTGAAAGCAAACTGAGCTAGCTTTAAGCTAACTAGCTATATGTTAAGTTACACTAAGACCATATATTGTGAATGTAGATATAATGTTGAAACTCAGTAAAAAAATCTTTTTGTTTCATATATTCTATTATTATGACACAGAACTGATTCAACTTTTGCAGTTTCACTAGAGAAGGTGATGGTTTCTATGACATTGAGCAAGAATAAGAAGTGGATGAGATGAATTTAATTTTAGTTGATTTCTCAGATACAACACACTTTGGTATTGAGGGATGGTGGACGCCCATGTCGAATGGTTACATGACATCGACTGTGATATCGGCCACTTTGGTGTATACAAACGAGTAAGCATGTTATTTTAGGCCATTCTTTTTTATGTCTGCAACCCTTTGTTGATGACTTTACCGAGCGAAAAGGGAAATAGCTTTAATCATATTGGCTAGTACTAAATTGTTTTTCTCAGCAAATAGCGATCACATGGGAAATAATGAAAATATAACATAGACACAGACAATATGTTTTTCTAATGTTTAATTCTGGGGATTAACCATAAATAATATGGTCAACGGTGGCAGCCATATCTTAAATTACGAATCACTTTTATGCATTAAAACATAGATCTAATTGAAAGACACTATTTTCATAACTAGTCCAAATAAACATTTAAATAAAAGCAAAGAAACACAAAGTTGGTCATCTATAGCTGAGTACAGGTTCCATGAGTACGTCACCAGTGGTAATAGTTTGATATTTGGAGCATATTACTTAATACTTAACTGATTTATATACATTGTTTTAATATTAGGAACTTCCACATATACCAGAAACAAACTTCGGGCGGAGCTACGTCACCAGACGTTCCACGTGTCTAAGACGCGCACTACTGTACATGTATTTCTATGAGCTCTGTGCGTTCTGCTGTGGAACACCGGTTAAGCCGGTGAAAATTCGAGAAAACAACACAAACTCAACTTTGAAGTAATCCTGAACAACCAAATCTTTATATGTTACACACGTGGGCTAATCTTGTTACACTGTTCGGAAGAGTCTCAACAATCATCCCAAAGTACCGTTTTCTGCGAGATTTTGGCCTTTGTTTTCACCGCGAGGAAAGATGAGCTTCACAGTCAAATATTTGGCAATGTGCCGCATGTTCTACCATTTCATACCCTTTATTGTTCAGCTCACCTGCTGTATAGGGTGATGTAGTGGAGGGGTAAACAGGAAACACATTTTCTCTATTTGACAAGTCGTTGAATTTAATTATTATTTTATCAACTAATATCCATAGCAATAACGAAAATAGATAAAAAGCAAAAAAAAACAAGAGTAATACAATGTAAAAACAGCAGATAACAATACAATTATAGTTTCAAGACAAGAAATCTAAAAATTGATTATGATTGATGTTTTGAAATTGACATGATTAACGATTATTTGAAAAAAAAAAACATTTTATTCACACGCACTTATGAACCCACCACCTCACCATTTTCTGACCCTGGAATTCATTCAATAACGTAGTAACCATGGAAATGATAATTTATTTATAACTTCTTTCAGGTTGTACAGATAGTTTATTATATCACAGTTACTTAGTAAACAATTAAAAACTGTTCTCCTCATGAAGGCTTCAGAGCGTACGGAAAGTTGGTGACATCACAGTTACTTAGTAGCTGTAGTAATATGATTCATGGTAACATACAAAACGATGACATTTCCATTATTACGGTTATTGAAAAAACACCAACCACGGTTTAACAAATTTAGTTGAGATGTTAGAAATATGTAGAATTTGTTAACACACAATGTGAAAACGAGTCACCTAAAGTTGAAGTATAATATGTTAATTGACTTACTGGATTAATATTACAATGAAGACAAAAAGCAACTTAAGAGCGTAACAAAATCAAAGGTGTCCCATGATTCCTTGGTGCAATTCCTAAGTTTAACAACTTCCCCTTTAACAT